GCTTTCAGGTCAATGTAGCAGCCCTTTTCTAATGGAAAAAGGCAAAGCAGGAGTATAGCAATGGCAATAACCACATGTGCTTCTTAAACCTTCTGCTTTGGCCCGCACTTTAGGAGGCATTTTCACTGGTTAGAGTAAGTCCAATAGTCAGGCCAATGTTGCTATGTCATGGGAATGTAATCCTCCCTCAAGTAGGGCAAGGAATGACAAAAAACAATATTATAAACTACCACATCAAATATCTATATAAAATATGTATAGAAACACATTGGGTCTTGGTGTGGGCTGTAAAATAAGCCCTGGACAACTAACCACAAAGTTGGTGGTTCAAACCCATCCATGGCTCCTTAGAAACCCAATACAAGGTTGCTATTAGTTGGAACCAACTTGACAGCACTTAACAGCCACCACACAGTATAGCAACACATAGATGGCCTCTTCAGTAAAAGTTTTAGGTATACCAAGTATTGAGCCGCCATCGGAGTAGGAATCTATGCAAATTTTACTATACAATTCAACTAAACATAAATATAAACACAAATTCTGAATCCTGTACCTTGGATTATAATATTGATTCCAGATCCTCTTCCTATCCCCAGTCACCCATCCACTCAGGCCATCTAAGAAGTTTGTGAAAACAATGCTGGCTGACTACCAAGCTCAATCTGTAGATTTTATCTAATGTCTCATCTTTTTCTTTTCCATTCATGATTCCTTTATTTCAGGGTCTTTCTTAGTCCTACTGAAGTACTATGTAAAATTTTCTCTAGTACAAATTATATAAATTGCCTTTATAAAACAACTGCATTTCTTTCAATGAACATTGCAAAATATTAATTCTTGTTAAGCCATAATAGATTTTTCTTTTATTTCTTTTGTTTGTTTGCCTACCCCATCAGTTATTTCTCTTAGAGGAGTACCAACTGTTACATCTGTGCTCTGCTGCCATCTTTCTGCACCTTTGATGAGCGAGACATATACTCAAATACTTTTAAAGTGAAAATAAACTTCTTGATCAAAAACTCAGTTAAAATTTGCTCTCCCATGGGATTGATATGTTTCTAATTCATTGTTGTTGTTGTTAACATGCCATTAAGTCAATTCCAACTCTTAGTAACCCTATGCACAACAGAATGAAACTCAGCCCAGTCCTGAGCCATCCTCACAATTGTTATGTTTGATCCCATTGTTGTTGCCACTGTGTCAATCCATCTTGATGGGGGTCTTCCTTTTTTGTCAATGACCCTTCACTTTACCAAGCATAATTCCTTTTCCAGGGACTGGTCCCATCTGACATGCCCAAAGTTCGAAAGACAGAGTTTTCCATTCTCCCTTCTAAGGAGCATTCTGGCTGTACTTCTTCCTAGACAGATATGTTTGTTCTTCTGGTAGTCCATTATACTTTCAGTGTTCTTTATCAGCATTGTAATTCAAATGCATCAATTCTCTGGTTTTCCTTGTTCACTGTCCAACTTTCACATCCATATGAGGTGATTCAAAACACTATGGTTTGGGTGAGCCATACCTTAGTTTTCAAAGTGACAGCTTTGTTCTTTAATACTTTAAAGAGGTCTTTTGCAAGAGATTTGCCTAATGTGGATCCAACCAAAATGAAGTGTTTGACAACTTCAGTCTTTTCTCTATTTATCATGATGTCATTTATTGGACTAATTGTAAGGATTTTTTTTTTTCTTTGTATTGAGATGCTATCAATCCTGAAGGCTGCTTTCTTTAATCTTCATCAGAAAGTATTTCAAACCCTCTTCCTTTTCTGCAACAAAATTGTATCATCTGCATATTTCAGACTGTTAATGAGTCTTTCTTCAGTCCTAAAGTCATGTTCTTCTTCACATAATCTAACTTTTCAGATAATTTGTTTAGCGTATCCACAAAATAATTATGGTGAAAGGATACTACCTTGATGTGCACCATTCCTAATTTCAAACCATTCACTACTCTCGTCTTCTGATTTAATGACTGCTTCTTTTGGTCTATGTATAGGTTCCTCATGAGCACAATTAAGTGTTCCGGAACAAGCATTCTTCACAGTTTTATTCATAGTTTGTCATGATTTCACACAGCCAAATGCCTTTGCATATAGTCAATAAAATTCAAGTAAACATCTTTCTGGTATTCTCTGCTTTCAGCCAAGATCCATCTGTCTTCAAAAATTATATCCTTGATTCTACATCTCTTCTGAAACTGGCTTAAATTTCTGACAGCTCCCTATGAATGTGCTGCTGCAAACATTTTCAAATTATCTTCAGCAAAATTTTACTTGCATGTAATATTAATGATGTTTGCTTAAGTCATGTGGGGACCGTGTCTGACTTCCTCTGGATTCGCACACACAAAAAAAGAATCAAAATAAAAATCAGCCCAAGGCTGACTCCTATGAAGAAGACGTCAGACATGCTTCTACCTAGCTACATTTTCTGCTCTATTCTAACTCCAACCATCCCTTCCATAGCACTCTCTGCTTCACATCTGGATTCAATAATCTTTTGCTGTGGCCACACAGAACTCGTAACAATACTCATGATTTCAGGGTTTATAAAGAAACTGAACAAGGTACAATTCAGGATAAAAAAAAGTTTAGGACACAGCAGTTCTCCAGTCAGGAATGCCTCTTAGCTGTCATATTTCATGCGCATATCACTCCTCTTCAACCTCTTAGTCGTGTAGTCCCTTGACTTCTGCCCAGTTCCTGGAAAGTGTTACAAAGCTCTTTTAGCCAGTCTGTAATTGCCTAAAGGGCACATTCTTCAAGCCAGTCTCCTGCCCTGCCCGTAGGCACTCAGCTTTTCTCAGTCCATGGGTCTGGAGCCCCAAGCTGCTCTGTCTCTCCATGCCACCAGCTCTGCTGTCACCTCTGCCATCGCTGTTTCTCTAGGTAGGGATCTCACACTTCACTCACACTCTTACTTCTTGATTATCCTGGGATCTTCTATCTCTGTTTATGAGATGGCTCCTAGAGGGCAAAACTAACCAATCCCAGCCTTAAGTCCTGTATACTTTATTTGCATGGTCCCACCCAATCATTTGGTAGAAATTAAGAAGACTTCGGATAGAAAAAGCCATATCAAGTAAATTTAAGGCACCACAATGTTGTTCAATGATTTCTGCATTCTGTTTGGTCACCTTTCTTTGGAATGGACACAAATATAGATTTCTTCCAATTGGTTGGCCAAGCTATTCTTGCCAAGTGCTAACAGGTTGGTTCCAGGTCATTGCCAGTTTATAGGGTTTCCAAGGAGCAGCTGGTGAGTTTGAACCACCAACCTTGCAGTTCAAACTGATCTTGCAATCCAGTGCTTAGCCTACAGTGCCACACCTGGACCCCAGGTAGTTGTCTTCAAAATTCCTTGGCATAGATGAGTGAGAACCTCCAGAACTCCATCAGTTTTCCAAAACATTTCAATGTGTATTCCACCAATTTCTGGAGTCTTGTTTTTTGTCAATGCCTTCAGTGCAGCTTGGACTTCTTCCTTCAATATCAGTTCTCAGCACATGATACCTCTTGAAATGGTTGAACATCCACTACTTCTTTTTGGTACTATGACTTTGTGTACTCCTTCCATTGAATTTTGATGCTTCCTGTGTCCTTCAGTATTTTACCCATTGTTGCAATTGTTAAGTGCTGTCGAGTCAGTTCCAACCCATACCGGGGCTGTGTAGGGTTTCCGAGGATTGGCTTGTGAGCTTGAACCACCAACCACCCTTGCAGTTCAAACAACTTTGCAATGCCGCATATTAAACCACAGCAACACACCAGGACTCCCAATATCACACTAGTACCTACAAAAGAGTGTCACAATAGAAAACACTCCTCCTACATGTTTTGTCTTATCTACCTACTCTAGAGGAGTCTTGAATAGGGTGCTGTAGGATAAAGCACTGGATAACATGCTTTGCATGTTGGTGGTTCAAACTCACCAACCGCTCCCTGGAAACCCTATACAGGGTAGCTATGAATCAGAAGCAACTCAACAGCACTTATCAACAAAAACACGTACTCTAGATATACAAATTAAGATCAAAGCTGAGAAAAACTATCTCTGACATCAAGTATCATTTGATATTTATGCTGAACATACCCACTACCCTAGTCTAGTTTCTGAGGTCATTTTAAATATCCCATCTTTATTCCATTTCTTGCCTGGTCCTTTAATTCTAGTTTGAATCATGAATATGAAATTATATTTTTAATCTGTCCATGCTTTCCTACTCTGATTAGCTAATGAAAAGCACTCCTGGCTATACAGATAAATTTATTACTTCACATTTTACTTTAAACCTTGACCTGCCTGTTTATATTCCAAACCTTTTTCTTACCTACATTTGGCTCAATATCTTAGATTTTTCACATTAATTTCATTCCTAGAGCTCTGTCACCTATCCTAGAACCATTTATAATGGTAGTTATATTGCTCTAAGTGACTCAGAATAAAGATGTGACTTCGACACTGGCTGGCATTATCAAAACATGTTTCAGATATATGCACCTAAGTTGATATATATATATTGTTGTTGTGAAGTACCGTAGAGTTGGTTCTGACCCATAGCATCCCTGTATACGGTTTCCAAGGAGCAGCTGGTAAGCTTGAACTGCCGACCTTGCAGTTCAAACGGCTTTGCAGTCTGACACATTAACTCACAGCGCCACACCAGGACTCATATATATATATATATACATACATATATATATGTTGTTATGTGCCGTGGATTCGGTTTCGACCCATAGTGACCCTGAACAGGGTTTCCGAGGCTGTAAATCTCATCTTTCTCCTGCGGAACAGCTGGTAGTTTCGAACTGCTGAACTTGTGGTTCGCAGCCCGATTCGTAACCACTACGCTACCAGAGCTCCATATATATATAATATTCACTTGTTACATAATTTAGGAGCTTTGTTTCAGAGTTTTGATTGAAACTGCATTAAATATTGTTCTTTTTTGAAAAAAATCTTTTTGACCCATTTTCATTTCTCGACTCCTTTTAGATGGTCCAGTAGTCTATGCAGCATACTTAAAAATGGAGCACAGCGATGAAAACATTAAATTCTGGATGGCATGTGAAACCTATAAGAAACTTGTCTCAAGGAGGAGGAGAATTTCTATGGCAAAGAAGCTTTATAAGATTTACATCCAGCCACAGTCTCCAAGAGAGGTAACAATGATGGAAAATAAAAATCAGTGAGTCCTCAGGAAGACACTAACATCTTCTGAGCACCCATTATCTACCAGACACTTCACATCCGTTATCTCCGGCTATAATGCCAGGATACTAAATTAACAATCCCATTGCTGTCAAGATGACTCTGACTCATATTGGTCCTATAGATCAGAGTAGAACTGCCCTACACGTTTTCCAAAGCTATCCTTCCAGAAGCAGACTGACACATCTTTCTCCTGGAGAGCAGGCGGTACGTTTGAAACGATGACCTTTCAGTTAGTAACGAAATATTAACCTCTGCACAACCAAGGCTCCTTAAAGTCAGGGTAGTTGAACTTAACTTTTTGAATAAGAAACCTGAGAATATGGAAAAATAACCAATTTGTCTGATATCATGCAGCAGCTGAATACATTTTAATGTTGTTTCATGCTGTTGAGTTGGTTCCGATTCATAGTGACCCTGTTCAGGGTTTCTAAGCACCCACTGTGGTGACCCACCAACTTTGCAGTTCAAACTGACCAGTGTTTATTCTACAGTGCCACAGCGACTCTAAGAGCTAATATTAAAATGTTTGTCTTGCACCAAAACCTTAATTCCCAGGAGAGGTTTGTTTTGTTTTGTTTTTGTTTTTTAAAAGATAACGATGAAGTCCTTGGAAGAAGTCTATTGGCCTAGCCAGAAGATATCACAAATAGACATGTTGGCATCACCTGTGGTTTTGCTTAAAGTCCATTCCATCATACTAGCATTCATTGTTAACCTTAATTTAAAGCTAGCAAAACCAACATTCACATGGATAGCATTGCCAATTATTTACAGCACCCTAAAAAAAGTAAGGCATTAGTTAAAAGATGCATTGAGACTCTTCCTGGTGGAGAGAAGATGAAAATGAACATTCTTCTTAAGGGGATAAGGATAGAGGATTCTTATCACTCATGCAGCCATACACAATTGACTTGTTCCCCTAAACTTTTGTCTGGGAAATACTTGGTTTACTAAAGTAACCACGTCTCTTCTCTAGTTCTCTAGTTCTCCTCACTTGTTTTCCCATTTCACAGACTATTCAATTAAATCAACATTCGTGACTATTAAGGAAGACAAATTTTAAAATAGCACTAACTTCCCTTTTTCTTAAAAGAGAACTCCAGATCATAAACTTCTATGTTTGTAGATTGCTGCTAACAAACCACTGGTATCCTGCTAAATAAGCAATGGTTTCTGAGACTTCCCTGCTCTTGAGGCTAGTGTTTTATTTTCCTCTAAGATGTGGAAGCGGATGTTTGCTTTTAAAAAAAGCAGAGAGCTTAGCTCTTATAAATCTTTTTAGACACCAATGAAACTGAAAACAAAATTATCCTATTCCACTGACAAGTAATACTAAAACCAAAACCAAAGCTATTGCCAGTGAGTTGATTCCCACTAATAGCAACCCTGTAGGACAGAGCAGAACTGCCCTAAAGGGTTTCTAAGGCTGTCATTTTTATGGAATAAGACTGCCATCTTTTTCTCCCATGGAGCTACCGATGGGTTCAAACAACTGACCTTTCAGTTAGCAGCTGAGAGTTTTCTCCACTGTGCCATAAGTGCCCCTTATTGAAAAGGAATGCATAGACAGATTGAACCTTTCCATTATATATTTTTATCTTCAATTTTGCATACTTATGTTCTGCATGTAATTTCACTTTTTCAGATTAATATTGACAGCTCTACAAAAGAAACCATCATCAAGAACATTCAAGAACCCACTCAAAAATGTTTTGAAGAGGCTCAAAGAATAGTATATATGCATATGGAAAGGGATTCTTATCCCAGATTTCTGAAGTCAGAAATGTATCAAACACTTTTAAAAACTTTTCAGTCTAATAACAATTCATGACTACTACTAGAAAATTTAAATTGAAGATGGTATATTGAAAAGTACTGAGTTTGGTCTTTTAGTTTAGAAAAATCAAAAATTACATATGAAAAATTTAGAAGTAATTAAACTGTAAGTTGATTTACATTCCCAAAGAGACAGAGATCTCAAGGGGGGTGTGTGGAATTTTATAATATAGATAATGCAATATGGTGCTGGTGTGCCATTGAGTCGGTTCCGACTCACAGCGACTGTGTACAGTTTCTGAGGCTGTAAATCTTTACAGGAGCAGAAAGCCTCATCGTTCTCCCACAGAACCTCTCATAGTTAGCATACCAACTACGCTACCAGAGCTCCTTGAATGCAATATAAAGTACACATATGAAGATCACTTACTGAATAAGGAAAACAAAGGCTTTCTTCATGACAACATTATAAAGCTTTTCTAATACCAGTCAACTAATGGATGTTTTCTTATTAATGAAATTGTGCTATTATAATGTACCAATCATTTCTTTAAAAATGAATTTCTAGTTACATGAATTATGTTGCTAATAACTTTAATAGATAAACTTGTTCTTATATCATAATTAAGTAGTTTTATATCATGAGCAATGTAAAAAATGTGTGTTTTTGAGAAATATTTTATCTGTAATATCTTCTTACTATTTTGCATATAACTGAATTTCTGTATTGCAAACATATTCAACAACAAAAAAGTTCCTTATGATTCTAAGCTACTAAAAATATGTGAATTTTCTCATCCATTCTTACACTTATATATTACTTTAAGGTAGAAAAATTTGGTTCCTGTATTCTTATGTTTTTTAATCACAATGTGAATTCATCATAATCCTGATAATCAATAAACCCAAACATAAATATACACATGTTTTTCCAAGATAAAATAAAAAAGAATAATTTTTCCAGTAGAAATTTCTAAAGGCCTAAAAGAGGTATCTTACAGCACTCAGAATATATATATATTTTTTTTGTTAAGTTCCTTCAAATTGGTTCTGACTCATAGAGACTCTGTATGGGGTTATGGGGTTTCTGAGAGTAGCTAGTAGATTTGAACTGCCAACTTCTCATTAGTACGGTTGACAGTCCAGCTCTTATCCTACAGTGCCACGCCAGGGCCCACTTGTACTGCTAGTGGTTATGTGCCGTGGAGTTGATTCTGACTCCTAGCGACCTTGTATAGGATATATAGAGGCTACAAATAAATATGTATAGAGGCTATAAATCTTGACAGGCCCAGAAAGTCTCATCTTTCTCCTATGAAAAGACTGGTAGATTTGAACTGCTGGCCTTGCAGTTAGCAGCCCAGCTGGTAATGCACTAAGCTATTCTTGTCCTAAGGAGGAGTTCATTCTCAGATCACTGTATTCTTTATTCCTCTTACTTACATATTTTATGAAGATAATTCAAAGAGCATTGCTAGTAGGGTTGTAGTTTATACATGGCAGACATTTATTCCAAACAAAATGTTCTCAGTAATGTACTTGTCTAATCTTGTTAGAATGCCTTCAAAATAACAGTAGCTTCTGAGAGACCCTGCTGGGCCAGTTCAATTCAAGGCAGACAGGTCAACTCAGAAGGTTGTGGTGACTCTTAGACTGTTGGAGCATGCCAGCTTAAGGTCAGTTATTACAAGAGGTTTTTTTTAAAGACAGTAAATGCAGAATTGAATGTCAGCTGTTGCCTGACTTTAACATATTGTGCTACATTGCCAGGCAGACTTTGTAACCTGGTTGATGGCTCAATTATTCAGGAAATGCCAGAGTTGTCTTTTCAGGAAAGAAGGGCAAGACTAGTTTACTTTTTGGTGAAGTTAAATTCTTTGCACAGAGGGAGTCTGTGATTTTATGATCACCGTGTCTCCAACCGGTTTTCATGTTTATAGTCTGGATGACCTTTGTGAATTTCCCTTGCACTAGAAAGAATTAATCAATTTGGGGTCTTTTTTTTTCCTTCTTATTAACAGCGCTTTGAGATTCATAAATTTTTAAATATATATAGTAAAATTTACTTCTGAGATCAGAACCTGAAAATTTTTATGATTTTTTTTTCTAATTGTATATATGCAGTTTCAAACTCTGGAGATGAGTGAGATAAGCCTTCATTTTCTCTGAATAAAAATAAAGTCTTATCTTGTCCCCCAAAAAATGCGGTGACAGAGATTTGTACCTTTCAGAACTAGCGTCTTGGCAGAGATGAACACTTTCCTATTTATAATTCATCAGTCATACCTTACTTTCATCAACTGCAAAGGTTGTTTCTTTTTGTTTGTTTTGTTTCTGACCAATTTTAGAAGGTTGATTACATAAAAGGGACACATGAAGTTTTCTTTAGGGACATAACAGACTGTAATTTGAAGGCAATCGTACAATTCCACTGGGCAAAAATACCATTCCATATTGAGACCTGAAATTCCTACAAGTAGAAGATGAAAAATGACGTCTACATTCAAATTGTAAGAAGTAAAACATTAGTGCTAACACTTTACCTGTTGCCTACCCGAAAGCAAAATTTGGGAGACTAAGATGCAGAAATGGAGTACAGGTGTGGTGCTAAAGGTTAATGCGCCAGACTGCAAAGCCATTTGAACTGCAA